CTTCTTTCCAGTCATGTGATGAGAGCAACCACTATCAATGTACCATTTATCATCATATTGCTCATCACACAAAACCTGAAATTAATGAAAGAATTTAGGTACCCAAGGTTGTTTGGGTCCTTGATTATTAGTTTTAAAGACATAGTGAAATGAAAAACATAAAACCCAATAACAAACTTTTGATTTGAAATTATCAATTAAGTCCACATCATTGGATAAAGGAAAAAAAACATAAGATTTCAATGGTTTAGGATTGCTACTAACATACGCCTTAGTCTTCTCATTTTGTCTTTCAACTGGCATATCTTTCGAAACTACTTTCCAAGCTTTCCCATAAATATTTGATTTTTTCAAAGTCGAACTTCCATTGGAAGAATCATTCAGATACTTCTCATAAGCTTCTTGATTTTTTTGTTGAAAGAATTTTCATGATTGATACATCTTTCCTTTTCCTTCAAGTCAATGGTTGATTTTCATCACATTAGAGAATCCCTTGTTGTATGAAACTTTCGAATTTTGTTTTATAGATGGATTTGGAAAATTTGGATGTTGTGGAGTGAAATGAATATTTGATTTAGGACGAAAGTTTTCAGGTTTTCGATTGTTAACATTGATTTTAACATCTTTGTTTTGTGAAAGTCGATTTTGAAAATTCTTTGAATGATTTGGAAGATGTGTATGTTGGAAGTATCGATTTTGAGGAGATCGTTGTTGTGTATAATGATGGAATTGATTTGTGAAATTTTTATTTTGAAATGTCATGAATGAATGACTGAATTTTTCGAAAAAGATGTAGTTGTTTGAGGTTTAGATTTCAAAGAAGTAGTTTTTGGAATAGATTCAAACAAAGATTTTTTAAATTGAGCATGATATTTTTTATTATCTGACATTGTTGCTGAAGTTGTCTGAACATATTTAGACTTTGTATTTTCAGACAAGTTCTTTTACAAACCTTTTTATTCCATTCTAGACTCAACAATTTTCCATAAAATTTTCTTTCGTGCTTGTCTCTTTGAAATGTCATTGTCTTTCGAAAACTTGTAAACTTGGTCTTTAAATTCCTAAGAATTGATTTTAACAACCTTTTCAACATTTTCAACAACTTGTTTTTGAATTTCTTTTAAAACCTTTTGTTTTTCAGCCCATTTTCGTTGTGGTTTTTATCTTTGAAAAATATATGAATTCTTTGTTAGATTATTTTCAACAGCTCTTTGATTTGAAAAGAAACCTTCATCTGATGTTTTCTTGTTATCTTCTTCAACAATTTTGTTGAATTCAGGTTTGATGTTATCAACATTTCATGTAGTCACAAATATTTGATTTGGAAAGATGACAACATCTATATATTTGAAGTTATGATATGCCACATTATTAGTTTCGAGACTCCTACTATAGCCACGATTTAGTAGGTATACTACACATGCTACAGCCTCAGCCCAAAAGAAATCAACCAAATTTTTACTCTATAGCATGCTTCGAGCCATATCCATAATGGTTCTATTTTTTCTTTCAGCTACCCCGTTTTGTTGGGGGGTATAACGATTGGTATGTTGATGATGAATCCTATTGTCTTTCAAAAATTCTTGTAAAAAGTAAGAGATATACTCTCCTCCACAGTCGGACCTCAAAGCTTTGATTGTGAAACCACTTCCACGAAAGTCTTAAACATTTTAAATGATGTAAACACTTCTGATTTGTACTTAAGGAAATAAACCCACGTCTTTCTGTTGAAGTCATCTATGAATGTAAGCATGTATATACTTACCCCAATGGAGGGTAGTTTCATGGGACCACAAACATCAGAATGTATAAGTTCTAGAGGTTTTGCTGCCCTCCAAACCATTTCTTGCGGAAAGGCTTCCCTTGAGTGTTTACCCATTATGCAACCTTCACAAATCTTATCACTTTTGTCTATATTGGGTAACCCACGAACCAGATCATGTTTGTGCATGTAAATCAGTGAACCATAGTTGATGTGTCCAAAGCGTTGATGCCAAAGAAGAGAGGTTTCATCATTTGTGACTTTAAAGGAGAAAAGATTATCATCTGAGAAGCGTAGAGGAAACATTTTATTTGGGGTCATGAGTACCTTTCCCAACAGTTTATTGCTTCCATCTCTGATTTCACATGAATTCTCTTTAAAGTGTACGTCATATCCTTTGAGAATTAGTTGTCCAACACTTAGCAAATTATGTTTAAGCCTAGGGACAAAGTAACCACCTGGTATCCTTTTATTACCCATCCTTGTATATACCAGTATGTCTCCACATCCTTGAACGTTTAACAATTTGTCATCACCGGTACATACTTCTTTTCTTTTCAGAATCCTTTAGAGTAGTAAACAAATCTTTGTTTCCGGTCATGTGGTTGCTACAACTGCTATCAAGGAACCATGTCTCTTCTTGTGTGTTGTTTTATGCAGTAAACAACATGAACATATTTTCTTCCTGATTTTCCTCTTCTTGACGCATAAGGCTTGAGTTTCTATTTTCATCTGCAATTCGTTTTCTACATACTTTGAATGTATGTCGAAATTTATGCCAGTAATTAGATTGAGTTTGTGAGAATGATTTAGCACGTCCATTCCTTTTTGAAGAATTCTCACTTTGTTCTTCCTTCTGACCAGGATATTTATTTTCTTTTGTATTTCGATTCCATTGAGTCATTGAATGTATTTTGAAGGCATTTTCAAAGTGAGAAAAGTCAAACTGTCTCATCCTTAATTCATGGGATTGTAACGTCCCAAGGAGATTTGCTAGAGAAAATGTGGATAAGTCTTTTGATTCTTCAATTGCAACAACTACATATTCGAATTTTCTGGTTAGGCTTCTTAAGATTTTTTCAACAACTCTTATATCGTTAATGGTTTCCCCATTTAGTCTCAACTGATTTAAGAGTAAGATTACTCGATTGTAAAACTCCTCAATTGTCTCCGAGTCCTTCATGTGAAGATTATCAAATTCACATCTTAAGGTTTGCAGTCATACAACTTTAACCTTGTCTTCTCCCCTGTATGTTCTATGCAACAAATCCCATGCTTCTTTTCAGGATGAAGATGTCGAGATTCTCTCAAAAATTACTTCATCTACTGCTTGGTAAATCAAGAATAGTGCCTTCTTGTCTTTCTTCCTTGATTCATTCAAATCAATTGTTTGTTGTGCTATTAAGGCGGTAGGAATTGCAGGTTCAATGATTCCATTCTCCACGATATTCCCAAGATCTTAGGACTCGTACAAAACCTTCATCTGAATGCTCCAGTGGTAATAATTTTTTCCGTTTAACTTGGGTAATTGGGGTTGCAATATGTTTCCGTTTGTAGCCATGATCGCAGGCTCTGATACCAATATGTTGAGTAAATGAAGAACACATAAATTCACACTAATATGTATTTATTATATTTGTAAGCATCGAATCATACATAGATGTCATTACATATGTATTTATACTAGCCTTCATAACTATCAATAACTACTAATGTAACTTTCATTTGACAGTTACTAGATAAGGTGCCGGTTGGAGACACCCCTTAGATAAAGGCACCACTTTGTACATAAAAAAAGCAACGAGTTTACTTCTACTTCTTTAACAAAGAACATCCCTTCGAGGAGAAGTATTTGCAGGAACTTTGATCAACATCAGCTCATGTTATGCAAATGAAAAATATGTAAATATCTTCACCTCCTAAACATCCACAAGATTTTATAACTGTTGAACTAATTTGTCAATAGATTAATCTGTTCCAGGAATCACAGTTGTAATCTAAGCTAGATCGTCCATTTCTACAGGACCTGCAGCTAGACTCTTTACACATTATACAACACAATGCTTTTAAATATTATTATAAAAAACATTACATAAGGAAAAAAAAAACCAAACCTGGATATTGTAACCCCTTCTAGATATAACTCTAGTGACCAGGTTGAGAACTCCAGGAGCATTATTCACAAGAATGTTGACAGTGTGAGACTTATGACCAGTAGACTGTTTTATTAACATTTCAAATCTCACTTATACCCCATAAACTTTTCGCTAAATAATGGTTGATAAGACATTAATGAAAAATGAGAAATTGATGCATATCTTACATCTTCTTCATAAAGTACACCCTAATGGGGGTCAAGGACTTGATTTATTGAGAACCTATCGTAGTACACCAGAAGATAAACATCTCCCTTCACTCAAACAAATATATCATAACTCAAATTAATAATAATAATAAAAGAAGTAATCATCACAAATAGAGACCTACAAAGAATAAAGAATATACCCCTGAAACCACACTGAAGGATAAAACTATAATACTTGCATTGTCACATGACTCATCACAAGTTTCATCACATTGCTTCACCTTCGCAGGTGCATCAGTAGCAGGAGAATAAAACATTTTTTTCTCAACATTCTGTATGATATAAAACAATAAAGCCCTCCAATTTTGAGTTAGGTTTAGCCTTCAAGATGCATGAGAATTTTTCAGAAAACCATATTTTCTTCATATCAGTTAATGGAAATAATTAAAGCCCAAATCCCTTTAAAAACTTTGAATTGTATAAAATCCACTATAGTTTGGAATTAACCATTTGAATAATCATCTTTTTATGATTTAACCACTAAAACTTTTGAATTTTATTAAAAAAAGCATCATTAACCAGAAAATGGAAAACAAAGCAATAATTGTAAGCGAATCTCAACCCTAGTCATACTTTGAAATGAATCCGAATCAAATTAATCCAAGTAGGTACACATAAATTAAATTATTCTGTCTATTAATCCGTATCATAAGATAAATCAAAGAAATTAAAGTAAAATCTAGGGTTTAGTTAGGTTACCCTCACTGAACAGTAAGTGCTTCGTAAACCAGTATTCCCTAGGGCAAACAACGCTGACATTCGTATAGATGCGAGATTTAGACATGTTGTTCACTGGTATGGAGCGGTTGATGGTATCATAGAGGCAGTGATCGACGGTCTATTGAACAGATGAATCGGAGAAGTCGTCGATAGATGCTCCTAGGCTGGGCTGGGGAAAAAGGAAGGACTGGACTGGTCGAAGTAAGCAACAATGACAACCACCGACAAGGAAGGGTGGAGAAAGCGTACGGAGATGAAGAAGAAGAAGAACAAGAAGAAGAAGAGGATAAAAAGTGTACGTACCTAAGTTTTCTTGAGATCAAAAGTGGTCTAAGGTTTGCGTTTTGACCTAATTGGTTCCCAATTACCGGAAAGGTTTTGAGTTATGGTATTTAATTGAATTCCCTAGTTTTACAATGTTGCAGTTTACAACAATCTCGACAAAATAGGGAGATAGCTCTGGAAATATGATGAGAAAGAGGTTTTCAGCAATGTAAAGGAGACGATGGATTTCAGCATAAGGCGGGGTTTTTAATTTTCTGTGATTTAATTTTCCCCCTATTACAGGATGGAACGCGCGTTTTATTAAAATATATAAACGACATCTTAGACGACTCATATTTTATTACAGGCGCTTTCCGTGTTTTTATTTTTTTTTGTTTACACACTAATTTTAGGGCACACAAAAATGTGTGTCCTAAATTATTTAAATTTTGGGAGAGATGATATTATTTTTAGGACACACGCATTTTGGTATCACAAATCACTGCATGTCATTAAAGGCCTATATTCTAATAGTGATTTTATGTATTAATATCTTTGTATGTTTTTAATTAATGATAATAATCATTGACAATTGCACATTAAGAATCAGCTTACACTTTTATTCTAGACATGATCCTAGGAAATAAAGATAGGAACAATGGTTGATACAAGATTTATGGTTACATATTTGAGGATATGATCATGTGACGATAAAAGCTTAAAATTTAATTTTATATTACAATTAGGAGCTAAAGTTGACGCCGTCTTATACACTCAGAGGGTGTTTGGGTGTCCATTTGAAAATAACTTTTTAACTTATTCACTTCTTGAAAAGTCAATAAATTAAAAAAAAATGTTTGGGTATTAAAAAGGTCCTTTTGAAACAACTTTTAGTTTAGTCTTTCAAAAGGAGTTTTATATAAGTCCCAATTTGTAACTTTTTGAAATACCTTTTGATTTATTAAACACCTAAAGACTAAAATACCCTTAACTATAATCACAACATTGCCAAATCCCTAGCCATCGACATTTTGTTAATTTTCAACGATGTCAACTCCCACAGACTAGCTTCGGCCCTCCATAGTCTTCCAAATTGTTGGTACTATTCTGCCATAGATTCCGGGTGTGTGCTGATCAACTTTATTGTCTGCAAGGAAGAGGTTGCAATCGTTTTCTACAAGGAGGAGGCTGCAGGTGATCGTTTTCTGGCAACAGGTAATACCGATTTTTTTTCCATCTGATCGGTTCTAAAGCTTCTAATTTTGATTCTGATTCTTCTTATTTGTGTTATGTGATTGATTGTTTAATATGATTTTAAAGCAAAATTTGCATATTTATTGATAAATGTTTTCTGATTTTGAAGATTATCCATTGGATTCACTGTTTCAATTTTTATTTTCATGTGATTGTTTTGATTCTGACCTTCAATCTGTTTTGAAGCAGAATTTTTTACCTAGTTAATTAATATGTAGTTGCTTCATAATTTCACCTTCCATATTGTATTATTATTGATAATGTGGTTGATGGAATCTTCTTGATTGTTATGATTTATGATTGTGAAACAGTTTTGAAGCCGGTTCTTTTTGGCTGTTTTGATTGATTTTAAATATGATTTTTCAGAAAAATGGACCAAAATGATTTAAATGTTGTTAATTGTGAAACACTTAAGACAAATAATAAACCAAAAATCATTAGGGATAATGATACTACGATGAAGTTTATCAAATTGTGCTTGGTTGAAAAAGATAAGGGGCATAAACCCGATACTCATTTCAATAAGACCGGGTGGGCAAATTTACAGAAAGCCATGCAAGAAGAAACAGGCAAAGTCTTTACTAAAAAACAATTCAAAAATAAATGGGACAACTTGAAAAAAGATTGGCAACTTTATGACCGGTTAATGAGACTTGAAACCGGAATTGGTGGGACAAGAAGCTTATTAGATGCAACGCCTGAGTGGTGGGAGGAGAAAATAAAGGTAACATTTACCATTATTTTTAATCATTTGTGGTTAGGATTGCATAATGAAATCTATGAATTAAACGTCATATGTTTATATTGTAGGTTGATAAAGACTTTGCCAAATTTAGGGGCACATATTTGTCTATATATGAGACGTATTACGCTCCTTTGTTTCGGGATTAAGTTGCTACCGGAGATCATTCTATGACTCCGTTACAATTTCTAAATGATGATGAACGTGAAGATAACATGGAGGGCAATGGAGATAATGAGGAAATCAATTTAGGTGATGATGAGCCTCTTTTCCCTAGTTTCCCTCGAACTAGTTCATGTAAAAGGAAGAAGTCTAAGGATATTTCTAACAATCGTTCAACGAAGACTACAAGTTCATATCTTGAGGAAAAACTAGAAGTTGTGTTGGATGACCTATCAACAAAAAGCACACAATCTTTTCCACTAACCACTCCCACTCCAATACTATCAAATTACATGAACATTGTTGTCACTTTTCCAGGTTTCAATGAAGGTTCAACACAATATTTACAAGCATTACTTGTCTTCGTCAAAAAGCAAAACCGGGAAGCTTTTATGTTTCCAGCAACTAACGATGCGAAGATGGAGTTCCTTAAGTTACTCAAGAAGAATTGATATGTTGCTTTAGCAATTGATGTGTTATCATTTTATGTGTCATTGTTTGATATTATGTGTTACCCTTTTATGTGTTCTCGTTTGACTTTATGTGTTATCCTTTGACTTTATGTGTTATCATTGTTAATGTTATTGTTTGATGTTATGTACTTGACTTTTTGTATGATGTGTTACCATTTAACATTATATATTATTTTGACATAATTTGTTATTATGTAGGATGAATAGTGATGACTCTGATTCAAATGATGATAATGAAGAATATTGTACGGAAGAGGGTTTAGAATTCAAAAGGTTATGTGGATTAGCTGTCACAGGGATAATAATTGTTCATAAGATGCGTAACACACGTACACCATGTCACATATCGGATCACAAAGGGAACATATTTATTAATGACATTTTACATGGGAGTGCTAGGCGGTGTTACGAAATGTTTTGACTACACATACCAGTATTTAGACAATTATGTTTTGATCTTGCTACAAATTATAGGTTGAAAGGAACACGTCATATTTCTATTGAAGAGTCGGTAGGAATCTTCTTAATAACTTTAGCTCATTGATGTAAAAATAGGTTCCTACAGGAAATTTTTAATTATTCAGGGGAAACAATTCATAGGCATTTTCATATAGTTTTGACAGCCGTTCTCAAGATGAGTCCCGACATAATCAAACCAGACCCTAACTATAATGATATCGTACCCGAACATATATTAAATAATATTATTATCCAATGTTCAAGGTAATATCTAATGTTCTAGTTAGTTTAATGGTAGTCACACTTTAACATGATTTTTTTTTTCCGTAGGATTGTGTTGGCGCTATAGATGGGACACACGTGAGGGCATCGGTTCCACAATCTAAAGAAGCAAAATACATTGGTTGAAAGGGATATGTCACAAAAAATATCATGGTTGTTTGCAATTTTAATATGTGTTTTACATTTATGTTGGCTAGATGGGAGGGAACCGCACATGACACAAGAATTTTCAATGAAGCCTTACGGAGAGCAGAGCTTCATTTTCCACATCCAACGGGTGGTTAGTATAAATTTTTAATAATGAAATTTGTACGTCTTTCATACTTCTTTGAAATGTATAACAAATGTTTGTTTTATATGTAGATAAATATTACGTTGTTGATGCCGGCTACCCGAATACTAGAGTGTATCTTGCTCCATACAAGGGTATGAACATTCGTTATCATCTACCAGATTTTCGACGTGGACAAACTGTTGCAATGCATAATCCTCAAGGGCCAAAGGAGTCATTTAACTATCACCACTCATCATTGCGTAATATCATTGAATGAAATTTTGGAGTGTGGAAAGCTATGTGGGCGTTATTGAGAGATATGCGTCAATGGTGGTCCATAATTATACAAGAATGACTGGTAGATTTAATGAAGCATTTAACAAGGCACAACAAGAATCTTATATCCAAATGAAGTTGGTAATAGTAATGAAGCGCATGAAGAAGATACAAATACACGTCGTATAAATGATAATGATATGTATATGTTAGTGGTACGAGATATGATTGCGAGAGAGATAACGAGATCGCAAAGATGAATGTAATAAGAAATTACGTATGACTTCTTAGGAATTTTTTACAGTATGCTTTATGATTTTTTAGGAATTATTTACTATATGCTTTATAATTTTGTATGAACATTATTTTTGAATGTTATCAAAATTTTCTAAATTGTGTAAAAATTAATTATATTACAAATTTCTTCAAAAAAGATTGCAAAAAAAATATTTTTTATCCAAAAAAAAGGTTTATATGTAAATAGCCAAACATATCTATTTTGGTCATTTTACATATATAAGTTAACCTAAACATTTTTTGAAAAACAACTTATTGATTTATTGACTTTTGTCATTATAAAAGCTAACCAGTTACTTTTTTAAAAACTCATTTTTCCATCTTAATAAGTCAATAAATTATATTGGATAAACGGACTTTTTAACTTGAAAATGAACATCCAAACACGCTCTCAAAATTGCAAATGTAGGGGTTCTAGATGATATCGTCTTATATAAAATACTTAAAAATAAATATAAATATATAAAAAAATATGTTTATATGTTTAAAATTCATAAAATCTATATAAAAAAATTAAAAAAAATACATAACTACGTAAAAATACATATAAATACGTAATACATAAAAAATAACACATAAATATATAAAAAAATATGTGAAATACTTAAAAATAAATAAAAATATGTAAAAAAAAATACATTTATATATTTAAAATATATAAAATACATACAGATAAACATATAAAAACTTTAAAAAACACATAAATACGTAAAAATAGATATAAATACGTAAAAAAATCGTTTATATATTACATAAAAATTGTAATGAAATATACAAAAAAAGAAAACATATTATTTTAGAAAAATTAACGAATTAGTCTCAGTACCTATTGAACACATCAAATATGTTAAAATGAATAAATTAATCGGTTTCTTTCTTTTATTTTTCTATTCAAAAAGTTAAACAGTCAGTCAGTCAATGTTTCTATTTTAAAAATAAAAAGATTTTACTTCAAATTTTCTTTAAATATTAAGATTTTTTTTTTTTTTTTTGATATTTTCTTAACAAATAAATATTTTTTATTGTATAGTTTTCTTAACATGCCTTACCTTTCAGCTTTGAAGTGGTTTTATTAAACTTACTTTAAGAACAAAGAAAATTATAGGCATGCATGCATGATTCATTAAGTGGTTATACCTCCACCCCCCACCCTTCCCCCCACCGTATCACAACACAATATTGCTTTATATTTGGCTAACTAAAATGAGTACTTTATGCATTGGCAAAATTCTAAAAATTTCAAAATATACTACTTCGTTATAGAATTGAGCTAGGGAAAAAGCAACTGGTTCCGAAAGTATTTTTGAATCTCCTTTATTGTAGATGATTTGTTATAGTAATTATGACCCAAAAATATATGAAGTGAGATCGAACAAGTCAATTTGATTGGGATTTGATATGAAAAGAAATCCACAAAATGATCCTATTTATAGGCTATTGACTAATTAAATCTTCACATGAAGATTTGATTATATCCACAAATTAAGCCCCATGCTTGGCATACATAAACACAAGCAGAACACTAATTAATTTCTGTATCTTGCATCAAAAATTCTTTGTCTGAAACAAAAAATTTCAGTGATAGTCTCTTGGTTATCTATTTAGTGATTTTGGAGCTTTGTTTCGTTTTTATAGTTTAGTCAAAGATTTCATATATATCGCACGTTGTTAATTTGTTCACAAATCCCAATTGTATTTTGAGAATTTTTTTGAGTACATTGGTATCCATTTGAGCCATCTGAGATATATTATTTTTATAGTAATAAGATGGCCTTAAACCTTCAAATATTGTTGATGATCTTGGTTTCGATGACGTGTTTGTTCATAAACTCCTCTTCATGTTCAAACCAGACACTCCCTGTTAAAACTAGCAATCTTGCCGGTTTTAAACCAGCTTTAGCAACGTGGTATGGAGATCGACATGGTGCTGGAAGTGGTAATATATGCATCGCAACATATTTTTTATTCATTATTTAATGAGCTTTGAAGTGCACATACACTTGCATTAAAACATACACATTACACATACACAACCATGTGTCCAAACATTATATACATACATTATTTATATATGTAGTATGCACACATATTTATTTTAATTATTTCAATCACATTAGTTATTATTAATAAGAAAATATCTATTAGATCTCGTTGTTATCAATCGAGCCTCTACAACCAGATTTTCTTGATTACGCAGGAGGAGCTTGTGGATGGGCTAATGATGTAAAATCAGCTCCATTCTCAGCGATGATCGCAGCAGGAAATGCCAACTTGTTTTTGGAAGGAAAAGGGTGTGGTACTTGTTATCAGGTAATGCAAAGTTAAAATTTTCAACAGAATAATTCAACCCATGTAATTACATTTAAGAGTAAATTACTGAAATCTATTTTGTTCAAAATTGCATGTTTGATCCCTAACTTTTTTTTTTTACACTCGGATCGTTCCTGTGGTTTGATTTTGTTGCGTTTTTCGTCCCTATGGGTTGGTAAAAGTTGCATGTTTGGTCCCTAACTTTATATATGTAGGAGACGAAAAATACAACAAAATCAAACCACAGGGACGAAAAACGCAACAAAATCAAACCACAGGAACGATTCGAGTGCAAAAAAAAATTAAAGACCAAACGTGCAATTTGAACCAAACCATATGGACGATTTCAGTAAGTTACTCACATTTAATATCTCAGGTCTTATGCACTCAAGAGCCATATTGCTCCAAGAATCCTATTACTGTAACCATAACGGACGAGTGCCCTGGTGAATGTAACAAAGTTCCATTCGCTTTTGATTTAAGCGGAACTGCTTTTGGTGCAATGTCAAATCCTGGCCAAGCAGATAATCTTCGTAATCTTGGCCAAGTTAACATTCAATATCGAAGGTGCATAAAATGAGCAAAACATTAATTAATTAACGTAATGTCTTGTAATATGTTACATTGATCAATTTGGCTTGTTTACATATCTAGGGTAGCATGCAACTATGGTAGCACAAAAATCGCGTTCAAGATAGATCCAAAGGTCAACCCATACTGGTTCGCTATGGCAGTAGAGTTTTGTGAGGGAGATGGTGGTCTTGACGCAGTCGAGGTAGCAGCAAATGGTTCACAAGAGTTCAGATGCATGGAGAACATATGGGGCGCTGTTTGGGCAGTCAGCATTGATCCATCGTTTCGTGGTCCATTTTCGTTCAGGCTATTCTCTAGAAAGAACGAAGGGGTTGTTGCGTTGAAGGCAATTCCATATACTTTTGTACCTGGACAAACTTATTACTCGCATGTCAATTTTAGAGTCTAGAATCGAACTACGACATGACATGCATGTATCAGTGAGTTCTAGATGCTCTAATTTAGGGAAAGTAGTCTTTCTAGGGAAGGTTGGTTTTGTGTTCTTTTT